CTCCTCCCCCCCCACCAAGCAGCCCCCACCTGCCTCCCCCCCCCCGACCCCCTTTTCCCCTCTTCCCAACTCTGCCCAACTTTAGAGCTACGTACCCGGAGAGTCTGGTGGGCTTTCTCCAACCTCTTCTCGCCGCCTTAGAGGGAGCTGCGTAAAATCCCCCGGTTTTCCATGCTGACAGTCCTCTAAAACGCTCTGTTGCTCTTGTAATGAGATCCCGATTTCCCCCCCAACCTTGTTTCTTTACTCCCTTCCACCGCCCCCCCACCCCCCGGGCTGGTGTGTCTATGTGCGTGTGTGTGTGTGTATGTGTGTGCCGGAGTGAGAGAGAGCAGGAAGTTGGAGCAGTCAGACAGAGAGCCGGCTCACTTCCTTTCCTGCATTATTCCCCAGGCGGTTTGCAGTCTGTGTAAACAGGCTTTTCCTCCCTTCTCCCCTCTCTCTCTCTGGCCACTGATGTGCAGGGCAGCATTGCTGTAATATAAGACACACACATAGTAAAACGGTAACGGTAACTTCGCTCGAGAGGCGCGCACACAACCCAAGGAAACTCCAGCAAGCTCCCTCTGACCTCCACCTCTTCCTGTTCTGCACCCCCGGGGAGGAGCTTCCAGCAAGAGCAGCAAACTTCGCTCATCAGTAACTGCTACTAAAAACAGAAGGTGGCTTTGGAGAAAGAATTCAGTTCCCCCCCCCCCCGAAAAAGAACTTGGGATGTCGGCTAGAAGGCAGAATTTCACTCCTCCAGCAGACCTGATCACAAAGACCGAGGGGGATCGCACATGTATATCATCTTTGGGCGTTTGAATGCGGTTTAACATAATCACACGTTGAAATCACTTAACATTCAGAAGAATATATTTATGACATTGCACTCAAAATAATATCTTTACTTGCCTTAAGAAAAAAAAAAGTTATGTACTTTCTACTCTACTGGATGCTCTTGAGCCTTCAGGAGTCCTGTTAACAGATTTGGAGGTAATCTGTTAAGTGCTGAAGGAAGAGATAATAGTGTTAAGACAATTGAAAGGCAAACGTCCTCCCAGATCAATGGAAAATGATGACGCTTCTAAGTACAGCACAGAGGCTTTAAATTGCAGTCTGCACTTGTCAGTTAAATCTCTTTATTCTGAAAACTTGGGGATGTTGGAGGGGGTTAACAATTATTGTCGACTGTGTGCCTTGATTTGGTCATTTGGTCTAAGGAATTTCTTTTTCTTGACTGGGGCTGTCTTAAAATATCTGTAATATTTGATTCATGTCAGGTACATGAGATTCTACATTTTCTTGATACTTCTTAAGCATCTTATTTGTAAAAATACTTACATAAATAGTAAACGTATTTTATATACATATATTATAAAACAATTTTCAATGTTTCTTCTGTCATCCATCTAGGCATTTCTTTTCTTTTTGCTACAGAAATATTCTTTTTGCATTCTTCCCTAATAATATATCTGGCTTCAACAGCTCTTCTGGTTCATGGTCAACTGAGTTTCATAATGTAAATCTGTTTTTACATGGACTTTACATTCATCAGATATGTTTTTTAAATTTTGCCATTAGGATTGCTTTTGTGCTCTTTTACAGCTTTACTCTATATTTTTTATATTAACAATTCATGGTGAGTACTTGAGATGGGCATGAAATAAACCACAAAGATTAAGAAACCTATGACTCATGCTGTTTCATGGTTCATTTTGGGGTGCTTTGGAGAAACATGCCTGCACAGGAAAAAAAATGAAACACCAAACTATTATCAGCATCGGAGATGCACTCAGATTTCTCAAAGCCAATCTTCGCTGAACTTGGACTGACTCTTTGCCAAACTTGGAATGAGTGATGAGGAGAGTCAGCCCAAGAGTCAGTCCAAGTTTGGTGAGAATTAGATTTGGGACATCCAAGTTACAACCCCCCAAAGCAGATCCCCCTGAAAAGTCCTCTTCACAGAGCATGGATGTCCGAAATCCAGTCTTCCCAAAACTTAGAGAGGGTGGGGAGGAGACTCAGCTGAAGACTTGCTGTGAGCTTGGCATCTCTGACTCATGCAGGGGGTGTTCTACCAGTCCTGAAATTTCTGAATCGCAAGATTTGGGACATCCAAGTTACAGCCCCCCAAAGCAGATCCCCCTGAAAAGTCCTCTTCACAGAGCATGGATGTCCGAAATCCAGTCTTACCCAAACTTAGAGAGGGTGGGGAGGAGACTCAGCTGAAGACTTGCTGTGAGCTTGGCATCTCTGACTCATGCAGGGGGTGTTCTACCAGTCCTGAAATTTCTGAATCGCATGAACCATGAAACAGTTCATTTTTCTCGAAGGTTCGTGGAAGATGGTGGTTCATATGTATTCACGAAGGCTTTCACGGCCGGGTGCTGTCCTCTGAAGATGCCGGCCACAGAGACTGGCGAAACGTTAGGAAGAACCACCTTCAGAACACGGCCAAAGAGCCCGAAAAACCCACAACAACCATGGTGGTTCATAGTTCATGAATAGCGATGTACCAAGAACCATCACGAACTGCTATTTTCCTGGTTCATGCCCAACTCTAGTTAGTACCACAATCTGCTCCTGATCTTGTTTTGGCAGAGAGTATAAAGATTCTCCATCCAATTACATATTCTATTTGGTTTCTATTGATTGCATAGTGTATTTGGCTTCCAATTACATAGTCTATTTGGTTTCTATTGATTTCATAGTGTACGGTATTTGGCTTCCAATTACATAGTCTATTTGGTTTCTATATTGGCCATCTGGTAATGCCTACATATACAATGATCTATACAGTTGCTTGAAGCATGTATTTGCAATAAACAGATTGTTGGCTTCGCAGAACTCACCAAGTTATTCTTCTGCTTTATTTCTGACTCCTAGACCAAATTTTGCAACAACATTTCCAATATACAGTACATACTAATCTCCATGAAGGGAGATGCCAAGGAGTGCAGTAACTGTAAGTCTGTTGCTCTAATTTTTCATACCGTGCAAGGAAAGTGATGCTCAAAGGCTTTTACCTTATATGGAGCAAGAATTGCCTGAATTCTGAAAAGAAAGAGGCACTTGAAATCATATTGCGAATATCTGCTGACTACTGGAGAGCTCCAAAGAATGTCAGAAGAATGTTTATATACAGCAAAACCTTTGACTGTATGGATCATGAGAAATATGGGTTGTTCTAAAAGAAATGGGTGTGTTTTGGCACTTGATTGTCCTGATGGTTAAACTGCAGTACTGCAGTCAAAGCTTTCCTCACAATCCAGGTTCAATTCCAGGAAGCCAGCTCAAGGTTCACTCAGCCTTCCATCCTTCCAAGGTCAGTAAATTGAGTACCCAGCTTGGTGGGGGCATGGTGTAGCCTACATAATTAAATTGTAAACTGCCCAGAGAATTAAGTGCTATGGGGCAGTATATAAGCAACAGACATTGCTTTTGATACATAATCTGTATTGTGGACAAGAAGCTACTGTTAGGACAGGGTATGGAGAGACAGAATGGTTTGCTACAGGCAGAGGTGTCAGCCAGGTGTGTGTTTTATTACCATCTCTGTTCAGTCTGCATGCAGAACATATCATACAGAAAGCCAGACTATAATCAAATTAAGAACGAGTGAAAATTGGTGGAAGAAATATCAATAATGTAAGATACAGTATGCATATGACACCTTCTTACTGGCAGAAAGCAGGAATGACATGAAATGACTTTTGTGAAAGTGAAAAAGTAATTGCCAAAACAGGACTGCAGTTAACATTAAGAACATCAAAATCATGAATTCAGAAGAACTACAAACTTTAATAGTGACAATGAAAAATTTGAAATTGTTAACGATTTTGTATACCTTGTTTCAGTCATCAGTCCAAAGGGAGACTGCAACCAAGAAATCAGGAGAAAATTGAGATTAGGAAGTGCAGAAATGAAGCAACTAGAAAATCTCATCAAATGTAAGTATGTGTCACTTGAAACCAAAGCCAAGATCATCCACATTATTGTATTCTCAATCACTACGTATGGGTGTGAAAGCCAAACAGTGAAGAAGAAAAAATGATTCATTTGAAATATGCTGCTGAATGAAAGTGTTGCAGATACAGTACCCTGGAAAGATGCTTATGTGGATCCTAGAGCAAATCAAGCCTAAACTGTTTCTGGAGACCAAAAAAAAAATTGAGGCAGTCATACTTTAAGCACATCATAAGAAAGCAGGATTCTCTAGAAAAGACAATAATTATTGGATAAGTTGCAGCCAGCAGGAAAAGTTGGGAGACCAAATATGAGATATATTGATTCCTTTAAGGAACCACAGGCTTGAGTTTACAAGAGTAGAGCAGAGCTCCTGAGGACAATACATTTTGGAGATCACTGATTCATAAGGTCACCATAAGTTGACCTGATGACACATAACATTGTAAGAGATTGAACAGCTCATTGCTTCAGCTGATCCAGCATTTCATTTGGGAACAGGCTTTGGACAGAGTAATACCCCAGAAATATACGAAACCCATTTTAGGGATTCTAAGTTAACATAATTTTTTATATAGTTGGTATTTTAGCTGGCCCAAATTTTTCATTCAGGTGGCTGAGTGCTGGAGCAGCTATCAGATGTGGTAGATGTGTTCAACAGCTGCTAACCTTTGGGCAAAAGTGAATGCATAATTGGATAATTGCTTGTTCGTCTTGTATATTTGACACATGGACTTGAATGTGTAAATATTTGTGTTTCCAATCAGAAGGATTTGATGAACTGGTTGATATTTTTCCCCAGTCATGGCCATACTGAAAGTGACCAGAAGATGGAAGAATATTTCAGACACTTTCAATGACAACTGGTAGGACAGTTTTGGGCTCTGTTATGTGTTGTCAAGTCTCATCCAACCTATAGTGGCCCTGATAGGATTTTCAAGTTAGGTGGGCTATTTAAGGAGTGGTTTTACTCCAGCCAGACCCACAACAGCTTCTCATGGGAGCTTGAATCCATTTCTCCTGTGTCCTAGTCCATCAATCTAGCCCTCAAAGGAATTTGCACAAAGCCCAGGAAACAACGCCTTTAGTGCAATGATATGACTGTGACATATTTACATTTTATTTTGTTGGACCCACAACAGTCTGGTCGGAAGAACACCAGCTTCTACTCCATGAGCATATCTGAAGTATGGCTGAAACCATCTAGCTAAGAAAGCAGACATTCTTTACAAAGTGCTTTTGTCTTTCTTCATCTACAGTATTTTAAACTGCCATGCTTTTATAGATTGCAGATCATGTGTTTTCTTTGGTTTGCATTGTTTAATGTGGATTAATGGTAGTTTATTTTGATCTAGCCATGATTTCTCACTGTATTATGTTTCCTTATGTAATCTTAATAGAAACAATATTTTGAAAATCAAACTATCTACTAAATATCTTTTTTCTCAGTCATTTGCCAGTAACTCCAACCTTGTTACTATGTATGCAAACCTGAGATTTTAAAGAAACTGCTCATCTGTACCATGGAACTGCATATCTATGCAATCAATTACTGTATAGAATATAGTGTTTTAAGGGAGCCTCAACTTCTGGTTGCTACAGGAAATCTCAA